TTGCTTTCTCTTACCATCTTTATATATATATATATATATATATATATATATTCAAATTGGAAAAGAAACCCGACAACTTTAGGAAGAGAAACTTGTTTTAAAATATTGCAGTGTTAACCAAGAATGTTAAGAGACCAGAACTCTGGCTTTCTTCAACCACCAGATGCCAAACAAGTGCTGCCTTGATCTGGGCTGATAATAGTTATTATTTATGAAACTAAGTTTATATAGCCAACCATCTCACAAGCAAGCTTCTCTGGTCGGTGTACGACAGACCTAAAAATGATCTAGAATAGGTTTTGAAGTCTTGCCAAAAATCCTGCCCTGGAGGCAAGAGGTTCATCATTCCATAATAATCTGTTGACTTATTTAAAATCTTTTAGGGCACCTTGAAATTCAATTTACAGCAAGACATTTACATGCAGGAAACAGAATAATAAAACCACCATGATTAATGATTTAAAACAACCAAACTGCAATTGAAATGTTGGATTATAGTTTTTAGAATCAGCCACATTCATCATGAAAGCCAGAAGAGAACAACAAAATCAGATGGAGGAGAATTTGGGATTGTTGACTATAGTCTTTCCAAAAGCTTTACTATTAGCGTACAAGTGCTTGGCTGGCCTTGAAGGGTTACAACGGTTGTCCTTTGTGGCTTGATGGATCCTTTGATAGTGATCTAGTTTTTCCACCTGGATTCCTGTCATTCACTCATGGTTTTCTTTCATTTTTTTCAACAACTGGACACACACTAGCAATTCCCAGGGAGCCATAACGCAACTGGAGATCTCAGATATGGTAAATGCTCTGCTAACACAACAGGTTTCACCAACACATGGTTTACAACAGGCTACAGCTTCCTTAGTATTCAGAGGAAAAATGAGTTAAAATGTTTTTCAAAAGTGTGATTTCAAGCTACAATGTTGGTGATTTTTCAAGGGGGCATTGCAAACACTTCTGTATTGATAAATGATTGGGAGCCAGAAAGCCTGATCTACTCTGGATCATCTAGAATTCTTCAGTAGGTTCTCTTCTTGCTGCTTACTCATGATCTTCAACACCTAGGCAACAAGGAGAATTTCTGAGGAGTTTGCAAAGGAACAAGATCAACATCTAATCTTGTTTCTAAGAATGCCCAATGCTCCATAGATAGCCATGCAGCAGTCAGAATTGTTGAAATGTTGGCAATCCGGTCATAAGACCTTCAAAAAACCAAGATCTTCTTCAAAAGATCTTACGTATGACATTGAGCTGTAGAACATCCCTACTTGATTCACAATGAACAAGATTTGTATACAGATGGTTGTGTGTGTGTGTGGGGGGGGGATCTGAAGAAGCCAGCAACCAGTCTAGTCAATTTAATTGCACAGAATGTAGGAAGGGAGTGAAGAATGGTAAATTGCCTTCTCAATCCCTGCGGGCAATGAGTTTGTTTCTTGAACTGTGAGGAGCAATTTCCCTTATTATTTTGAAGGTGCAAAGTATTGTAGCTAATGGTCCTCAAGTTAACTTTTTCCTTATTTAAACGTAGCTTCTGTCTAAATCAAGATTACTTCCTATCAAGTCCTGGAAAACCAGACAAGGAGAAACGAGATGGAGGAAGTTGGAGACTTAAGCAAAGGAAGCCAGGGGGGGCCGAGAGAGAGAGATGGATCCACACTGCAACCCAACCATAGAGAAAGAAAACAAAGACCAAGAAAAATTCAATTATTCCTTCAAGCAGAACATCCAAAGAGAAGCTTAGAGGACTGGAACATTAACAATTACATTAATGGACTCTATTTGGGCAGCAGAACACCTGAACTTCTTCTGTAATGGAGACTCAGAAGATCCAAAGAGTTGGCTTTGATTTAGTTCTTTTTCCTTTAGCCAGAGACATCATTTCTTTCAAGGCAGAATGTTGGTCCTGCAAAACCCTACTAGAGTCAACCCACTATGACACCTGCTGTGAAAGAAACTGTCAGAAATGACTTGGGGAAAACTCAGAAGTTATGTGTCCATCATGTCACAAGGGCTTCCCACTATTATGATGGGGAGATATTGTGACAAGACAGTATTCTTTCTTGTCTTCTACATCCTTTTTGCTGAATCACCTGAGGGAACCATGCCATTTTGCTTCCTGGCAAGCCCAGATTAGATTACGAACAGTTGCTCTTTTTTAAAAAAAATATTTAAAGCTGCCTGAGTTTGTTGGATGTTTCTTCACTATTATTGTTTGAGGAAATGTGAACAAAAGGTTTAGCATCAAACAGGAACTCTAGAATGAAGAAAAAGTTTCACGACAATTCAACCGAAGTACAAAGAGTTCCAAGAATGAATCTGAACTGAATGACTTTGCTTCCTGCAAAGGTTTCTCTACCTTTTCCTGTCTTTTATACCTTATGGGAGGGGCAAACGCCTCCCGGCCTTACTCCCGAGTCACCCCTTTCATCTCAGCTGCTCTCGCCTTCTAGCAGCTCTGTGCACACGTGCACTGGGAACAGGCTCCCCTTGTTCCTCTGCCGCACTGCTGCCAGACTCCGGAGGCTCCAGAGGCAGCACCCCACTCCCAGATGATCCTGGCCCCATCTCTGCATCGGACGCAGGACCCTCGTCCGAGTCCTCTCCAGACTCCCGGACTGATCCCCGTTCTTCCCCACTGTCCAATTCTGCTGCCAGCTTCACCGGCTTCCGGTGAACCACAACACAAGTCAGTTAATTTTCTTTCTAGTTCATTTGACACTTCTGTTATTGGGAGCACTTCACAGGAAAGAAAGGTGGGTGCTTATCTCGAGGGACTGTTTGAGATACATTACCGGCTGGGAATGAAAACAATTCCCAGCATTGCAATAAAATAAGACTTGTTTTTAAAATAAATGTGTGTGTAATTGCAGTCTAGGAAGCCTTGGTCAGAACAACTTTTTATTCAAAGCACAGGAATAAATATTCAAAATTGCTTGCAGATCAACAACAAATCCTGTCTGGACCAATTTCCCACCGCAACCCTGTGTATTGTTTGACCACAAATCCAACTTCTGGGAATCCATTGCCCAATGGAAGGAAGACTCAACTTCTGAGTCCACTTGTGTCTGTTTCCATCCCTACACCTCTGTTTTGCCAAGATACTGGGCTAATAATAAACTATTAATTACTTCATTTCTCCTGGAAAATGGCAGTGAATTGTTGTTGCGGGTGGTTTATTTTCTTTTAATACAGGCAATTGTGGCTTTTTTCATTGGGCCCAATTGAGGAACTTGGAGCTGACGTCACAATTCATTTTCTCCATGACTGATGAAGGCAGCTCTCCACATCACACAGTGCATACAAATCAGGGCGCCTTTCCCTGGTGCTGAGGGGCAGGCTATCCATCTTCAGGCCAAGCTCCTGAGCAGCAGAGAGGGAGAGAGAGGGAGAAAGAGAAAGAAAAAGGAAAGGGAGAGAAAAAAGAGAATGAGAAAGAGAAAAGGAAGACGGGGAGAATAAGAAACAGAAAAAGAGAAAGAAACAGAAAGAAAGAGAGAAAGAAAGAGAAAGGGAGGAAGGAAAGAAAGAAGAGAGGGAGAGAGGGGGAAGGAAGAAAGGAAGAGAAAGAAAGAAAAAAGAGAGAAAGAAAGAGAGGGAGAACTAGAAAGCAAGAGAGGAAAATGAAAGAAAAGGAAGAAAGGAAGGAAGAAAAGAAAGAGGAGGAGAGGGAGGAAGGAAGAAAGGACAAAAGAGAGAAAGAGAAAGAAAGAAAGAAAGAAAGAAAGGAAGGAAGGAAGGAAGGAAGGAAGGAAGGAAGGAAGGAAGAAAGAAAGAAAGAAAGAAAGAAAGAAAGAAAGAAAGAAAGAAAGAAAGAAAGAAAGAAAGAAAGAAAGAAAGAAAGAAAGAAAGAAAAGGAGAGAGAGGGAGAAATAGAAAGCAAGAGAGAAAGATGAAAGAAACGGAAGAAAGAAAAAGAAAGAAAGAGGAGGGAGAGGGGAAAGAAAGAATGGAGAAAGAGAATGAGAGAGAGAGAGAAAGAAAGAGAGGGAGGGAGGGAGGAGAAAACTGACTTTCAGCAATTGTTTCAACCAATTTGCTTCAATGGCTTGATCCAAAGATTGCCACTGTCATTGCATGACGTTTGCACAAGCCGATGCTGAAACTCTTCTCTCTCTTCCTCCAAACAGGAAGAGGCCCAGGACCTGTTTCTAGGATGGTCCACTCAGAAAAATGTTTCCCCACTCCAAGAGCTCAGCTACCCACCATATCTGTATGTTCCTGCACCCTGCAGAACCCGAGCAGCTACACATCAGGGATAAAAGTGCACACCACATTAACAAACAAACTTTATTTAACATTTTTTTTGATACATCAATACATAGATTGCCACCTCCAAGCTTAAAAACAAGTCTTGCCTCAGTTTCTCCATATGGAAGAAGGAACGTTAAACAGAAGGTGGAACAGATCAGATTGGTTTTTGCAGGTGAGGGAGGAAAGGGAGGGAAGGAGGAAGTGTTAGAAGGGATGGAGAGAGGAAGGAAGGAAGGAAGGAAGGAAGGAAGGAAGGAAGGAAGGAAGGAAGGAAGGAAGGAAGGAAAGGACAGATAGAAGGAAAGAGAGAAAGAAGGAAGAAAGAAAGGGAGGGGAGGGAGAGTGGAGGAAGTGGTAGAGGGGTTAAGAGGGAGGGAGAGAGGAAGGGAGGGAAGGACAGATGGAAGGAAGGGAGAGAAAGGGAGGGAGGGAAGAAAGGGAGGGAGGGAGGAAGTGGTAGAAGAAAGGGTTATAAGGGATGGAGAGAGGAAGGAAGGGAAAGACAGATAGAAGGAAAGGAGAGAAAGAAGGAAGAAAGGAGGGAAGGGAGGGAAGGAGGAAGCAGTAGAATGGTTAAGAGGGAGGGAGGGAAGGACAGATGGAAGGAACGGAGAGAAAGAAGGAAGGGAGAGAAAGAAGGGGGAGAGGGAGGGAGGAAAGGGAGAGAGGAACTGGTAAAAGAAAGGGTTAGAAGGGATGGAGACAGGAAGAGAGGGAGGGAAGGACAGATGAAAGGAGGGAGAGAAAGAAGGAAGAATGAAAGGGAGGGAGGGAGGAAGTGGTAGGAGAAGGATTCGGAGGGAGGGAGGAAGATTAGGTTAGTTCTTCAGAAAATAGGGAATACGCAGAAGGATCACTACAAGGCCCTGAAATATCCAGAGAGCAACTGAAAAGGGAGAAAAGGCCGGTTCCTCTACGGATTGGGGCCTCGGCAGGCGTCCTGCGAGCCCATCTCCATCTGTGAGCCCCGAGCGGCTGAGGCAGGGGTGGCACTTCCCAGCGGGAGTGAATAAGGCAAGGTCTGGCGCCCGAAGAGTTCCAGGGTGACCGCACTGAGGAAGGCGGGGATGCTGTTCTGTTGCAGGAGGTGAAAGTCGATCAGGTCACGGACCGTCTGCGAAAATTCGGTTTCCAGCAACTGCATCTTTGCCCCAGAAGCCTGCGCGGGAAAACAAAACAAGAAAACAAAACAAAAACACACACACACAAAAAAAAAAAAAAACAGAGAAAAGAAAAGAGAAAGGAAAGGAAAACCATTATTTACCCAATGAGGCCATTTCCCCCTCCAAACCGTATTTATGTTGTGGCGTGTTTGCTGTTGCTATCCAATTCCAATCAAGGTAATTTTATCTACTGCTGGGCAGGTGTTCAACACACAATTTAATTGGGCCATTATTAAAGCTTCTGCATCTCCACAGTCTCTGAACAATAATACCCCACGCACCAGCCTCAGGTGAATAATGAATTACCCAGCGGTGGAAGAAGGCGGAAAATGTTTTGAAAACTAACTTGAAAGGATCCGTCAAGTGAAGAGGGGCAGGAGAAGAGAGGGCCGCGGAAGGCGATCGATCAAGAATGCCGATTCCCACGGGGGGCCAAGCGATAGACAGACATCTCTTTCCCCTGTCCCAGAAAAGATGGATTGTCTTAACCCATCAATGGCTGCCTCCTCCTCCTCCTCCTCCTCCTCCTCGCCATTCTTCTCCCCAGCTTTCCCTCGCTTGGGAAGATCTGATAATCCAACTGGAAGGGTCTACGACAACTCGCCGTGAGCAACTTTCCGCGGGCACAAGAGTTACACTAAATATCAAAGAAACAGTGGAATAGAATCATGAAAGAAAAGGACGCTAAAGGAAGGACAAAATGAAACGTGGAGGACAACCATTAAAACAATTGTTTTAAATAATAATATTGAATTTTCCCGCAGCAAATTGGCCATTGTGGCCAGTTGTCCCTTTGCACAACTGGAGACCTCGCTTCCATTATATTTCTAAACGACTCCGCTCCAACCACAAGACATGAGAGATTCTTCTAATCAGGGAAGGCATCTCTTCAAAGGAGATTGAAAGCTTCCCAAGATCAGCCTGGGAAAATGGTAGGAGGTTTGTTCGGAAGCCCAACCTCAGCTGAAGGGGACTATTGGAGTTATTTATAACTCCACTCAATATACGGTTCAAATGATACATTTATACACTGTGATTATCCAGTTCTTAAGATAAAGGTAAGGGTTTCCCCAATCCCGTTCTGCCCAACTCTAGGGCACAATGCTAATCTCTGTGTCAGGATTCCGGCAGTGACCCCCATTTAAATCATGAATCTCGAGCCAAACTTCCAAAACTTAAAAAGGATTTATTGAGAGTTAACATGCCGGCACCGCCTGGGTGTAGCCGGCTCTGAGACACATAATTCTTTGAAAACATTTAAGGAATGCAGTTTCGGTTTTGCCAGCTGCTACGCTGCTTCCCCCCCCTTTCTTGGCCGAGACAGCCAGCATTGTCCAAATACTTCTATGGGCATGTGGCTAGGATGGCTATATGCCAAGGCTCATGAAACGCAGTTACTTTCCTACCAAAGTGGTACCTATTTATCTACTTGCATTTGCATGCTTTTGAACCGCTAGGTGGACAGGAACTGGAGCCAGGAATGAACCCATCTGTCAACTTTCAAGCTGACAAGCTCAGCATCTTTAAGCACGGAGCCATCCACGCCCCTCTTATATAGTTCTACAACTACACAATTATGTAGGACATTTATATAGTTATGTAATTATATATCCCATATATATATACCTAGTAATTATATAGTTTTATAACTATAATTGTATTGTTGTGTAATTCAGTTAGATAATTCAATACAGCTTCAAGTTACACTTCAATTATAACTCCATAACTCAATCCCCTTGAGTTATTTGTAAACAACAATAAAGGCAGAATAGAAATAAAAATGAACAGATAATAAATAAATAAAACTTCTGCGGAGATATGATCGAATGGATATTTGCCACAACTGGATTTTGATTGTGAATTAATTGGAATGGAAGAAAAAGCATCGAATACAGGTTTAATTTGTGGATATTTAAATTAAAACTTTCGGAGGGTTTGTGGAAGGTGGTACATTCTTGGCTTGTAGACATCCTCCACCATCTTCCGAGCTTGGGTCTTCTCCATCCATTGGCTAAAAATTCCAAACTGCCCAGAGTCAATGACTGAGATGGGCGGCTATGGAAATTGAATGGACCAAGTTAGAAATGAGAAATGTCTTAACAGTGAGAACAATTAATCAACGGAATGGTTTCCCTTCAAAGGTTGTAGAGGTTTTCACAGGAGGTTTTCAAGAAGAGACTGGACAACCAGCCTGGAATGATATAGGATCTGCTTGAGCAGTGGGGTTGGGATAGAAGACCTCCAAGGTCCCTTCCAATTCTGTTGAATGAATGAATGCATAAAAATGCCCAGAATCAAACTTAAAGCTTTTAGACGCAATCGATTCTTTGCCGCTGATTTGCCTTCTTTTCCTCCAATGCAAAACCTATTTCTAATCCCGCCAGCGCTTCTAGAGAGTGTCTTTTCTAACACACCCGCAATAAATGCACAATTGGCTGCCTGCGACAAGGTGGGCTTCCACATTTCGACTCTTGGCATCCTTCAGAGGAGCCTTTAGCACAACTGCCTTTCTGCTTAAGACAAGATTCACTCTCCTTGGGGAGAGGAGGAGTGCCTCATCCATCTTCCTTTTAACACTAGAAACTGGTAAATTATTCAGGGCTTTAAATATAAAAGCCGGCTGGGGAATTCTGGGAGTTGAAGTCCACATATCTTAAAGTGGCTGAGGTTGAGGCACACGCTGCCCTAGACGAAGGATGTAAAGTTGTAAACGCAAGGATGAATATTTGAACACGGCAGAGATGCATTTGCAAGCCAGCTCCAATCCCGACCCTGTTAAAGTAGCCATCTTCAGCCTTTTAGGGTCTTACTTCTTGTACTGGCAGACATTTCATGACCAGGCAAGACAACATCACCAGGGCAAGGGGATGTGCTGGTGATTTATACAGTCGTTTGCTTTGCCAGGTGTGGTTTCTTCCTTGGAAGCTCATCTGGTTGCAACATCTTCTACCTGGACTCTATGGCCAAAGCAAGATAGAGTGGAATGAAACTGATGGGGGCAACTGAGCATTGTCATTCTGAGCTTGGCTTCTGGTCACTCTGGGCCAGCTTCTCACTGACAAGGAGGCCAGGGGGCCAGTGGAAGGAGAGGACCTCCATGGCCATCATCTCACTTGCAAGGTCCTATTCTGGTATTGTAACCTTGCCATGAAGGTAGTGTTGAGACTCATGGTTGATGTTCCTTCTCTTCATTACCTTGTTCCTTCTTTCCTATAGGCCAGTGGGAAATTGCAACCTTAACATCACCATCCTTAAAATCCAAGGCACCATCTTTCTAATCTCCAAAATATATTCTGGAAGCTTACGTGGATTGAGTCCATGTCCGGTTAGCACCTGATTGAAGCTCAAGATCCATCATGGAGAAACCAGCACCCTTTCTGCAGATTTTAGGCCAAGTCAATGTACCGTGATGAGTTTTCTATGAATGTAGCAATCCATATGATCTGTCCAATCTCTTCTTAAAAACATCCAGTGTTGGAGCATTTACAACTCCTGGTGGCAGGCTGTTCCACTGCTTAATTCTTCTCACTGTCAGGAAAGTCCTCCTTAATTCTAGATTGGTTCTCTCCTTGATTAGTTTCCGCCCATTGCATCTTGTTCCCCCTTCAGGTGCTTTGGAGAATAGCTTGACCCTCCTCCCAAGATCCTATACAGAGCCTACGTCAACTGGGGGAAACCATGTGGCACAACTGTAGTATAAAGGCATAGTTTTTATTTTAAGAAATGTTTTTGCTTGGTTTTGAGGCTCTTCTGCTTCTGCCTTAAATACCCCAAAGCTGTTTTGATGGCTCACAAGAGTTTTCATGCCCTTGCCACAAAAGATGCCTCACGTCATTTGGGAAGACCTTCTCCAATACCTCCAGAAGGTCATTTCCAGAAGTTGCTGGAACATCTCAAAGGGACATGAAGAGACCTCAAAAAGGCAAGCTCCTTTTCTTCTTACACCCAGTGAGCCAAAATAGCATTGCCAGTTCAAATCAAAGCACTTAAAAGACTGTTCACTTCGCACAGACCTAGGAGCAAATTCACAGGGTTAAATCCTGTCTTGCTAATTTTTTTCACACATCTGCTCTCTTCTTGGAACATTTCCTTCCATCCCATTCTCGTATGACAACACTTGTCCAGCTCTATTTTCCGAGTTTGGTTTCTTGTTTCCTAAATCCCAATTCAACCTGACTTAGATCCTTGTTGCAGACCTCGAAACCGATGTTAAAAGCAATATTTTTCTTTCTCTTCGTTTTACATCCTCCCCCCTCTAGCTTTGACCTTTTCGCTGGAAAATCCGTTGGGTTTTTTTCTTTCTCCTCCTTCCCCTCTTGCTTAACATTCTGAGATCTTTCTAAATGTCAGTAGGCTCACTGTCCATGCACAACAGTCGTCTCTGGAAACACAAGGCTGCTTCTTCAGACAAACCCCTGCTGGAATTTTGATGTTAAAAATGAAAGGCTGGGGAAAAGAAGGGAGGAAAAATGGTGGGTTGTTTTTTTTTTTTGGGAAAAAGGGAGGTGAACAATTTCCCCTCTGATTCTAAGAAGGACACAAGAGGATCCCCTCCTCAAACAACAGCCCCTTTCTCCTCTAAAATTGGGGGGGTGGGTGGGTTAGAAGGCAAAAAAAGAGGAAGAAGAAGGTTCTAAATAACGAGAGAAATCCAGACGTGGTCAAAATAATTCCAGCTTCAGAAAGGACATGTTTGTGCTTAGATCCCAATGGCTCCAAATTCTATTTTTCTTGTAGATGTTTTTTATTTCTTCTGGTTATGCGTTGGTGGATAGTTAGTCCAAACATCAGACTGACCGCTATTCCCTGCTGGGCGTTTCAATTATTTGGGACACTGTTGGTTGATTTATTGATTTATGACACTGTTTTGACACTGAGCTGCTTCTTAGGGCTCAAGGCCACTGACACAAAACAGGGCTTGAAGAAACGAGAAGGAGTCCGCAGCCCGTCAACCAGGGTATATTCTAGAGGATGATCAATAGCAGCAACGCATCTC